ATTTTTAAAAGGAAGTTTGTAAACACGGTACATGTCCTAAGCTGATTATTTCCCAAACAACCTATACTTGGGAAACATTTTCTTAAATTATATATTAACTGATGGCTATCTTTTGGGCTATATTATTTTACAGATCTGTGTAATACTTGCAAGTAAGAATAGGCGATATACCAGTGTACCGTATTCTCTCTCCCTGAGTATTCACAACATAAGTAAATACTTTGGACTCTTTGCTGCTTACTCATAGAAATCGCCAATTGTATACCTAGATTTCCTGGACTGTGTTTGATAGATTTAAGACATTAGCTAAGTTGACTGGAAAGAAATATGTGTCAATCAGTGGTTTTCAATCTTGAGTGTGCCTCAGAATCACCTGGAGGGCTTATCAAACTCTAGATTGCTCTGCCCCAGCCCTGGAGTTGCTGATTCAGTAGGTCTAGAGTAGGGCCTGAAAATTGGCATTTCAAATAGGTTCCCAGGTGATGCTGCTGCTGGTGGTCTGTGAAGTTCACTGTGAAAACCACAGGTATAAATAATGTATGTGTTGCCATGACCTTTCTCTGGGGTGGGGTGGGGCTCTTCACAGACAGGTGGACAGCTTGAAGCAGAGAATTGCCGGGAAATCTCTCCCTACTGAGAAGTTTGCTGTGAGGAAGGCTCGGCGTTACTCCGCCTCCTTGCCTGCACCTGTGAAGCTCATCTTACCTGCCCTGGTATCTGCTTTTATTTTATTTACTTTTCATGCACTAGAAGTAAATTATCTAGTCACAGCAGCAGGGAGCATATCTAAATTTGGTTATGAAGTTTAGCTCACTTAAAAACCATTTTAAGTTTTGTTGTAAGTTGAACATTTCTAAATAAGTAATTAATAAATAAAAACTGTAGCTAATGGTTTTTGACTAGTTAGTATGCTCCAGGCATTAGGATAAAGGCTACTAAAAACATATCATTTAATTCTTACAACTTTTTGAGTATAGTTAACTCTTAACCACATTTTTTAGATAAAGAAATTTAGATAGAAGTTGATTCCATTGAAGTTGAGTTGAATTCTAATGCAAGCCACATTATGTAAGTTTACCTTTTCTAATAGCCACATTAAAAAAGTAAGAGGAAATAGAAATGAATTTCAAGAATATATTTTGTTTAACCCAGTATATGCAAAATTTTGTCATTTCAACATGTAATTGGTAGAAGCTTAT